TAAGACTCATTCACTCCCGCTCATTTCGTGGTTTGTTTGTTATTGGGCCAAATACGAATAAAAGTGAAAAAGCCAAAGAGACACAGTGAGAGGTACTAAAGACCACCTACAGGGTATGAGCCCATTAGACTTATTTATCCTATCTCACTAAACAAGCTAAATCACAACAAAAACACAATATAAGAATAATCAAACTACATCTACAAAGTGTCAGTATAAGATAGCAAACTCATAAGACAAATGATGATTAAAATTAACTTGATAAGATAAAATACGATATAAATTAAATAACAAGTAACAAGTACCTAAAAAAACATGTAAACCATGAAAACCAGTAGCTACATAAAATACTCTACCTACAATTCCATCAGCAATAGAGAAAGAAGCTCTTTTATACTCAAATAATTGAATAGCAGTAAATAAAATAGCTAAACCAATAGTAATAACTAAACCACAAACACAACTCTTATTTCTCAATAACCTGTGATGTGCCCAAGTCACAGTTACACCACTTCTTAATAAAATAATTGTATTTAATAAAGGAACACCAAAAGGATTAACCAAATGCAAACCAATAGGAGATCATCTTCCACCCAACTCATGAACAGGCACTAATGCCGCATCAAAAAACACTCAAAAAATTCTAAAAAAAAACATAAATTCACTAAAAATAAACAACATTATACCAAATTTAAATCCATCCATTACAAAAAAATTATGATATCCACTTAATCCCTTCTATTACAAATATCTTTTGCTCAAAGTAATCCAATAAAAAAACAAGAAAATAAACAAAACAATAAACCTTTGTACAAACCTCAAGCAAATCAAACTACTAAAGAAGTAGTAAGACCTAAAACAGATATAGATATTAAGAAAGGATAACTAGAAAGAGAAAGAATATGAAAATTATGAAAAACAAGTGGGAGAAATAGAAAATTTTGCCACAAAGCTAACCCACCAAATTACTCTATAACAGCACTAAGCACCCATTGCTTAAAACATTCAGGAGTTGTAACCTCCAAAGCAATAGGCATAAATCTATGATTAGCACCACAAATTTCACTACACTGACCATAAAACACACCAACTATAGGAAAATAATAATTAACTGTAGAAAGAACACCAGCTATAGCATCCAATTTAATTGCAAATCTTGGTAAAGCTCAAGAATGAATTACATCCAGCCGAAGTAATACAAAACCGAATATTAGTATCACAAGGTACTACACAACGATTATCTACCTCCAACAAACGAGGCTCACCTAGTTTTAATGAATCAATTGGTTTCATATATGAATCAAATTCCAAACCTTCAATATCAGAATACTCATATGATCAATATCACTGATGACCAGTAACTTTAATAGTTAAAGCACTATCATGAGCCATCAAACCATAATAATAAAGAATAGATAAAGAAGGAATCATTTGTAAAAACAAAATCATAGTAGGAATAATACTACATAACAATTCACCTAACTGATACTCAATTTTATGAGATTTAAAATAATATTTATTAAAAATCAAATAAACAATTATTCTAGCAACAAAAACTAAAACACCTAAAAGCAAACTACAATTAAAATTATGAAATCAATCTATATAACTAGCAAACAAACTATTCATCATAGGCATAGCATAACCCTGAAAATAATTAAAAATCTGAGGATAAAACCCTCTGATTAACAGTCAGCTATTCTATACTTAAACTAATCCCCAAATCCTTAACTCTAAAATAGATCTCTGATTGATAAGAATGACCGAAAACAATATTACACAACATATGCTCAGGACTATTATTATAGAAATAATCAACCAAGCTTAGACGATAAGACATAAACCTTTCAATTAAAACATAAACAAACAAGAACAAAGCAAATATACTAATCATACTTCCATAACTACTAATCACATTTCAAACAGAATATACATCAGGATAATCTATATACTTACGCGGAAAACCATGTAAACCAGCAAAATGTAAAGGAAAAAAAGTTAAATTTACACCAAAAAATATTAAGAAAAACACTGCACTTATTATTAATTTATCATAAACATAACCAGTTATAAACCTTCATCACAAAGAAGCAGCACAAAACATACCAAAAACTGCCCCCAAACTTAAAACATAATGAAAATGACTAACCACATAATAAGTATCATGTAAAATAATATCCAAACTAGAATTTGATAAAACAACACCTGTTAATCCACCAATAGTAAATAAAAAAATAAAACCCAATACTCACAACAAAACCGGTTGAAACTTTATTTTTATACCAAATAAAGTAGCCAATCAACTAAACACTTTTACACCCGTAGGCACCGCAATTACTATAGTAGCAGCAGTAAAATAAGCACGAGAATCTAAATCCATCCCTACAGTATACATATGATGAGCTCAAACAACACAACCAATTAAACCAATACTTAAAATTGCATAAACCATACCTAACGAACCAAATACTTCTTTTTTACCAGTTAAATACAAAGAAGACTGACTAATAATACCAAAAGCTGGTAAAATTAAAATATAAACCTCAGGATGACCAAAAAATCAAAACAAATGTTGATAAATTAAAGGATTACCACCAGTTCTTGGATCAAAAAAAGAAGTATTTAAATTACGATCAGTTAACAACATAGTAATAGCACCAGCTAAAACAGGTAAAGATAATACTAACAAAAAAACAGTTACAAACACCGTTCATACAAACAATCTTATATGTTCCAACGAAATAGAACTACTACGCAAATTTTTAGTAGTACACATAAAATTAATACCCCCTAAAATAGATCTTAACCCTGCACAATGTAAACTAAAAATTGCTAAATCCACACTTCTACCAGGATGACCTAAAGTTCTTAAAGGAGGATAAACAGTTCAACTTGTACCACAACCCATATCAACAAAACAAGAATCTAAAATCAAAAATATTGCTGTAGGTAATAATCAAAACCTTAAATTATTTAAACGAGGAAATCTTATATCAGGAGCCCCTAATATTAAAGGCAACATTCAATTACCAAAACCACCAATTATACTAGGCATTACCATAAAAAAAATTATTAAAATTGCATGAGCTGTAATAATACTATTATACAACTGACCATTTCCTAACAATAAACCAGGTTTACTCAACTCCATACGAATCAACATAGATAGAGCAGAACCAACCATACCACACCAAAGACCAAAAA